ACGAGGTATGGGCACCTCGGCTTCCATGGCTTGAAGCTGCTGTCCAGGAAGGAGATGGTGCACGGGCTCCCTGTGATCGATCATGTGGAGCAGGTGTGCGAGAGCTGCCTCGCCGGGAAACAATGTCGCCAACCGTTCTCGGCGGCGAGCAAGTTCCGTGCATCTCGATCCCTGGAGCTGGTGCATGTGGACCTGTGCGGTCCGATCACACCGGCTACCCCGGGTGGGAAGAAGCTGTTCTTGCCTGTTGTTGATGACAGGAGCAGGTACATGTGGCTGGTCCTCTTGGCTTCAAAGGACCAAACAGCGGCGGCCATAATCTAGTTGCAGGCGCGGCTGGAGAAGGAGGCTGGCGAGAAGCTGGGCACGCTGTGCACGGACCGTGGAGGAGAGTTCATGGCGCGCGTGTTCGAGGAGCATTGTGCGGGTGAAGGCGTGCAACGCTACCTCACTGCGCCGTACACGCCCCAGCAAAACGGCATGGTGGAGAGGCGCAATCAAACCGTGCTGGGCGTGTCGCGCAGCATGATGAAGGGGATGAACGTTCCGGGTTGGCTTTGGGGTGAGGCGGTGTCCACCGCCGTCTTCATCCTGAACCGATCACCGACACGGAGCGTGGAAGGAAAGACGCCCTACGAGGTCTGGTATGGTTCTAAGCCGGCCGTGCACTTCTTTCGCACTTTCGGTTGTACTGCTTATGTGAAGATCGCCAGCGGTCACCAACACAAACTCGACGACCGAAGCACTCCCATGGCGTTCATCGGCTATGAGCCGGGGACGAAGGCCTACCGCTTCTACAACCCGAGCACAGAGCGTGTACACTTATCGCGGGATGCGGTATTCGATGAAGGGAAGGCATGGAGATGGGATGATGCGGAGGTGGCTGCATCAGGCGCAGCTCAGGGGGAGCCGTTCACGGTGGAGTACGTGACGCTGTCTGCCCTGGGCGGCGGACAGGCGCCACACATACCAGCGCTGTCGCCACCAGCGTCACCGGGACCCTCGACATCGAAGCAGGGTACTGCTGCTCCTCCCTCAACCCCGGTGCAGGAGCCCGCACCGGCCAACTCTCCAGCATCGGGAACTCCACATGGAGGGGTGGAGTTCGTCTCACCACCTCTGGGGGAGCTTCAGCTGGATGCCGACGCCGGCGACGCGCCGCTGAGGTTCAGGTCGCTGGACAATGTCCTCGGCGACGCTGACAACCCAGGGGAGGCGGTCTGAGGGCTGGGCGCCGAGCTGCTGTTGTCGGTTGATGGAGAACCAACATCGTACGATGAGGCGCGCAGCGAGGAAGAATGGCGGAAGGCCATGCTCGAGGAGCTTTCCTCGATCGAGCAGAACAACACCTGGACATTGGTCAATCTCCCGCAAGGGCACCGGGCAATCGGGCTCAAGTGGGTGTTCAAGATCAAGCGCGATGAACTGGGGGCGATCGTGAAGCACAAGGCGCGCTTGGTGGCCAAGGGCTACGTCTAGAAGTCTGGCATCGACTTTGATGAGGTGTTTGCGCCGGTGGCGAGAATGGAGTCGGTGAGGATGCTGCTTGCTGTTGCTGCTCAGGAGGGTTGGCTTGTGCATCATATGGATGTCAAGTCAGTGTTCTTGAATGGGGATCTTGCCGAGGAGGTGTATGTGCAGCAGCCGCCAGGCTTCATCGCGTCTGGACACATGAACAAGGTGTTGCGCCTGAAGAAGGCGCTGTACGGTCTACGTCAAGCTCCCAGGGCGTGGAACCACAAGCTGGACAACAGTCTGCGTGATCTGGGGTTCACGCGCTGTCCGAGTGAACATGGAATGTACACCCGCGGAAAGGGGTCCTCACGTGTGATCGTTGGCGTCTACGTCGATGATTTGATCATTACTGGAGCAAAGGAAGGCGGAGTCGACGCTTTCAAGGCTGAGATGCAGCGGCTGTTCAGGATGAGCGACCTTGGGTTGCTGTCCTACTACCTGGGGATAGAGGTGAGACAGAGCAAGGCTGCAATCACACTTGGGCAGGCTGCATATGCTCGCAGGCTGCTTCAGAGGGCGAACATGGCAGGGTGCAACCCGTGTCATGCTCCGATGGAGGCAAGATTGAAGTTATCTCAAGATGGACAACATGTCGGCCATCTCACTCAGCAAGAACCCTGTGCTGCATGATCGAATTAAGCACATTGATACTAAATTTCATTTCATTCGTGAATGTGTCGACAAGGGAATTATCTTGCTGGAGTATGCGAACACTCAAGATCAACTCGCTGATCTGATGACGAAGGCACTAGGACGAGTCAGGTTCTGTGAACTTCGGGAGAAGATTGGCGTTGTCAACCTGGGCTGAACCAACCTCATGAAGGGGGGAGATTGTTGGGTTCATTCAGTAAGTTCAGTCCAGGTTCAGAGTTTCAGGTTCAGAGTTTCAGTAGCTAGCGTTTAACATTCTTGGCCAATAAACTGAACCCGATTGGGTGCGTCGTGTAAGCCAGAATCGCGCTCGTTCGCGGTGCGGCACGTAGTTGTCGTGTCCTTAGTTTTCGCTGAATCTAGTTGAAGCCTTGCGCCCCGTTCGTTCGGTCGTGGGATGGCACGACCTTGTAGGTAGGAGTGGCGTGCATGGCGCCGGGTCGAGTGGCCACAAGCTGCTCACAGTTTGTATATATTTTCATGAATAGAGTCAGAAAACGTCGGTTAATTGCGGCACCAAATTTTGTGTGTTTTTTGTTCTCAGCTTCCACTGTGTTCGTGTGAGTTTCCACCTCGGGTTCCATCGATCTTGGGTCATCATCCTCGTCTCCGGCGGCGGGCGCCGGCGAGCAGGATACGTCACTACCGTCTACACTCCCTCAAAGCTCTGCTTGATTTTGATTTATTTTGAGATTGGGCTGGATGCTGTGACTTGCTGTCAGGTGTTCAATGGATTCTACAGATCTTGACGTGTGATTGGACTCTCTCAAAGTGGATTAATTTGCTTCTTTCTCTTGATACTGTACCGACGATACGCATGTTTTTTTGTTGTTGATTTCTTCTTTGAAGTGGAATTTTTCTAATTCGCTATACTGAATCAAACATACCAGAACGCTGATTTCTTTGTTGAACGGAATTTTTACTGTCTATAGCTCACGAGCTTACCGAGGCACCGAGCTAACTCAGCTTATTACCAAGCCAAGACGAGCTGACTTTTTTAGCTCGCTTCGTGCCGAGCCGAGCCAGCTCATTTTGATACCAAGCTGCACCAAGTCGAGCTGAGCCGGCTTGATATTCAGCCCTGCTCTCAATTGAAGCTGCCTTCTATCTTTTATCTTTTGTTCCTGGTTCCACCCGTGAGCTTTATCGTGTTGATAATGTATTGTAAACATATTGTTGGCGATTAGGATATTTCCGTATCCGGCTCTTAAGATCTTCTCATTTAATGCAAACAAAAGAATACAGAGACACAAAATAAGAGATTTTTTTATTGTCTTAATATTAATGTTATATATTATATATATAATTCTGATAATAAGATCTAAGAGTTTAATAATAGCCCACTAGAGAATTCATTCTTCTCTCGTTTTTATACTGAGTGAATATGTTCTGCAACATACTTATTTCGGCCTGTTCGCTGGTTGATTTCTGGACTGATTTAGATTGGCTGATGCTAATTTATTGTAAGAAAAAAATACTATTAGCTGACTGATAAGTCTGACTAAAACCAACAAACGAACAGACTGTTTGACTGTCACGCTGAAAACAAAGCTTTCTGCCAAAACGTTATTGCAGCAAGTGTTAACGAAGCAGAGCGTCCAACCCCAGCCGGCCTGTGGGGCCAAAGCCATCATGCCAAGGTGGACCCACCTGGTGTCAACGGCCAACTCGGTAATAAAAGGCACAATTACGCAGACGGTTTCCCATCTTTACATCTCTACCCTCATCAGAAATTCAAATTCCAAACACGAACCTTCTAAAAATCGAAACCCCACCTCAGTACCTCACCAGAGCAGTAGACTACCGCCTCGTCGTCCGGGACATCGTCTCACTGAAGGTACCCGCACCGTTCGTTCCCCCATCGCCTTTATCTCAGTCCATCCCTAGGCTCGTGAGTCGTAATGTGGGTTTAGGGTTTGGTTTCCTGGTGTAATCGCTGAATCTGGAATTGCGGACTTGGGTAATGTGACTCCGTGCTGCTCTAATTCGAGCCTGCTGTTCCATGAAATGCGCCTACTTCTGCCGATCTGAAATCCTAGGGTTCAGGACTAGATTGTGCTTAGCACAATTTCATGGTGCACTTTGGATCGATGAATCTCTGTACCTAATGGTAAGGGGCCTTACCTGGAGGTTGACTGGCGCATGCCTCTGAACGGGTGTATCAGCTAGCATTTTGTATTTGGCATTATTTTGTTTGAGAACTGTGTTTCGATTGCTTGGATCCTGAAAGTTTCATGAACACTTAGGTGTTCGGCTCAGCCACACAGCTCCAGCTTCAAGAATTTTCGGAGCTGGGTATTCCTAGCGCCAAGAATTTATGAAGCTGGAGCTAGGGCAAAGTGGGAGTATTTAGGTAAGTCATTTTGTTTCGAGTCTAAATTGAGAGTACTTACTCAAATGGGCCTTAATTTTTTATACAAACTCCAAACCCAAAGAGTACCTGGGGAGCTAGAACACTGCCAAATGGGGCCTTTATGTTTCATGCATGTATATGTAAATTTCACATCAAGTATTATGGTTCAAATTTTCCAGAATGGTCACATCATGTATATGTCTTCCAAGTTTCTTATTTACCATATTTTTAGACAGTCTTATTTACCATATAGATGAACTCATGAGGTATACTAATTTCAAGTTTGGCTTGAGCTCATATTGTTGTAGAATATGTGCTCACATTGAGACACCACATTAATGTGTCCCTAAGCTTGCTCATTAATGTATGCTTGAACTCACTTAAGCAGGTGGTACAATTGTTTTCATGTGTGGACAAGATAAGCTCTGTGGAATGGGCACCGGATTCAGAATATATTCTATGTGGACTTTACAAGCGGCCCATGGTGCAGGCTTGGTCACTGAGCCAGCCTGACTGGACCTGCAAGATCGATGAAGGTCCTGCAGGGATTGCATATGCTCGCTGGAGCCCTGACAGTCGCCATATACTCACTACATCCGAGTTTCAGCTCCGTCTCACTGTGTGGTCTCTCGTAAATACAGCATGTGTGCATGTCCAGTGGCCGATGCATGGTTCTAGAGGTGTTTCTTTTACCAAGGATGGGAAGTTTGCTGCAATCTGCACCAGGCGTGATTGCAAGGATTACATAAATTTGCTCTCATGTCACTCCTGGGAGATAATGACTGTCTTTGCCGTTGACACGGTAGACTTAGCTGGTGTTGAATGGTCACCAGATGATAGTTGTATTGTTGTCTGGGATTCACTTCTTGAATACAAGGTGCATGCACTTTCTCTTCACAAATCCATGTTTCTTTTTGTGTGATTTGACATTCACTTGCACTTCTGTGAGCAACTTCAGTCTTTAGTTATCCTCTTTATGTGTTCATTAAAATTATCTTTACTTTCAGTATCGTCATCTTACATAGCAATTTTGTAGCTGGCAAACATTTGTTCTGCTAATTCAATTTTAATAGCCCTGAATTGAGTTGTCGTTGCTCTGAGTTAACTTGTTTGTCTTGTACCATCACTCCTTTTTCCTAAAGGAAGCATATATTTTATTTTAGGTTATCAACCTTGTGCCTCAGTTATTGTTGTCGTACGTAGGTTTTAATGATTGAACCTTCCGTATTATGCTTCATAGGTTAACCACTAACAGTCAACTCTAAAGAGTTCATTTCAGCTTGTTGTGAAAAAAACATTTTGTTCTTTTTCCTACTTTAGTTTAAACTAAGCATAATATAATTATGCAGAGATACTAAAATGATCCTTCAAGGACCAAGCCTATTACAGGTTCTGACATCCTTTTTTTTGTCATTTACAGGTTCTGATATATTCGCCAGACGGAAGGTGCTTGTTCTAGTATCTAGCTTATGAAAGTGGGTTAGGTGTGAAACTGTTGTTGCTTGGTCACCATGTGGACAGTTTTTTTAGCAGTGGTGACTATGATCAAGCAGTGCGGACTTTGAATCACCTGACGTGGAAAACTTTTGCGGAGTTCTCACATACAGCGCGTATATCTGAAGTCCTTGCAATGCTGCTATATATAAGGTAACTCAGTCCGTTATTTTGTTGACTTGCTATATTAGCACCGCTGCATGGTATAAATTTACTTCTCTGACAAATAATCATGATATCTAATTTTAACTGCCAAATATGGGCAGGAAGTGGATGACCCATGGCAGCTTGATATGTCAGAGTTATGTCTAAGTGAAGGCTTCTCTCGTAACATGCAAGACAATGGAGTAGGTCAGTATAAGCGTGATCATTTCATACGACTTCTCATACTATTGCTTTTCTATATTTTCCACCCGCAGACCTTTGGATTACTATTTAAAAAAAAACATGTATTGCATGATGAATTCCCTTCTCAACTGAAGCTGGATGTAGTGGCCCATAAGAGACTAGGATCTTATCGTATCTAACAAAACAAAAACTAAAACACTCAATGGGGTATTCTCTAACAATTTTATGCTCCTGCAGTCTGTAGTAGACTTGTAATCTTATCTCTCCCACATGTTTTTTTTTTTCGAGAACGTGCATTGCACGTAGAAGGGGGGTTCAACGAGCTTCCTAATAAAGAAAAGCGCCACAAAGCAGGCAGGATTACATTAAAAGAAGAAAAGCTATGGCTAGCCACCTAAGAGAAGAGGGGTGACGGTTAAGTGCCAGAGGGACGAAAAAAAACAGAGAGGCCATGTCCACCAGAGTGACCGGCCGCAAGGTCTCCCCCCTGAACACCTTTGTTATTTGTTGTCAAGACAAGGTTTAAAATTGCAGGCTATAGCAAATAGCGGCATCTTTTTTTTCCAGGAGCTATAAAGCTATAGAGGAGCTATGACAAATAGCGGTATTTTAAGAAAACCATGACAATCATAAAATTTGACGAACAGAAATACGTTTCCAAAGTTCTAGGAGTCTAGGGAACATTGTTTAATATGATATTATTTATTACAACATGATTCATGAAATTCAAGTGTTCAGTTTTCCAAAAAAACCCAACTTAGCAACAAAAGATAGGTAGATAGTAACTAGATTGTCATTGTTATAACTGAAATTGAAATGGCGTCGCTATTTCAAAGCTACAACTAAGTAATGTAGTGGCGCTAAAGCGCAATATAGTGGCCGTAGCTAACATAGCGGAAAAAATAGCAATAGCTTAGCATGGGCTCTCTCTAGCAGCTATGACGCCGCTATAGCTCGCTATTTAAATCCATGCGTCCAGATCATCCAAGAGTTGAGCAGCACAATGGAGTTGAAACTCCTTTGGGGACCTGGTAATCTGCTTGCGGTTGAAGAGACATCAATCGACCCATGAAGGCACACCAAGCGGTGTACATCCATGGAATCTGAAGGCGTGTAGGGTCCGAAACCAGACCTCCCTACTGAACACGCAGTTCAGCAGCCCATGAGTGAATTTCTGGCCCCTGGTCACGAAGTGCTCAATCGCCATGGTTGGGGAGACTGGCACTTGAGGTGGTCAGAAGTGTAGCTGCAGCCATAAGGTCAAGCCAGCCAAAGAACTTGCATTTGTTAGGGGCACAGGTTTTCCAAAGTTGCTTTGCCCCAAACAATGATATGTGACCGAGCAGCAAACCCTGGTAAGCTAAGCTCGCCTAATCTTGGATTAGCAAATCTCAATCACCCCAGTAGGCTCTTGCTCTCCCTTGCACACCAAATGGTTTCCTCAGCTGAACAAATGGTCAACAGAGCTAAGTTGGACGAGTGGGAGAAGTATTTATACTCCCAACTTCAAAACATACCCGTTAGGGTCCAACTCAGCATTTTCGAGGTGACCGGACGCTCAGGTCAAAGTGACCGGACGCGTCCGATCAGTAGCCAATGTCTACATTGCGTCATCCTGTCAGAGGAGGCCATTAGAGAGATCGGACCCACTGCAACGTCTGATCCACCTAGACCTGACGCGTCCGGTCCATAAATTTCCTCTCTGGATGCTTACTGTTGTTGACCGGACGCGGCCTCTGGTGCGTCAGGTCACAACATTCTCAGCATCTGGTCCTTCGTGAGTGTTGCGCGCTCTTTGCTACAATTATGCACAACTGCGTGTCCGATCCTGATTAGGAGCCAGCGTTCGGTCGTCCTTCTACCCCTACAACGCACGCCAACAACTGACCGGACTCACCCTGACCGAGTCTGGTCAGAGCATCACCAGCGTTCGGTCAATAATTTGACCCTCTAATCACATCCAATTCAAAATCCTTCGTCAATGAAATTGACTTCCGGCGATCTTTGGGTTGTCCCTGAGCTACCTAGTGCTAAGTTTGACAAGTGTGCACCACACCTTAACCATTAGACTCACCTAGGTCAAGCTACTAGTCCATACCCCCCTTAATAGTACGGCCAAAGGAAAAAAAACAAAGTCCTAAACTACTCTAAGTGTCTCTCCAACACCAAATAACACTTAGAACTAGTCCGTCCTTAACTTTGTCATCCATCCTTTGAAAACCAAAATGATTTCCATCGATAGAGGCATGAAAACCAAAATTGCTCAATCAATTTCCATTACCATGATCTAACTCAAATTGCCTCTATAAAACACACGTTAGTCACAGTAATCTCGTGTCGTCATTAATCACCGAAACCCAACTAGGGGTCTAGATGCTTTCAATCTCCCCCTTTTTGGTGATTGATGACAACACAACCTCGAGTATGTGTATAAGAGATGGGTGAGGTTTTCAACATGCTTGGTTCATATAAGCAATTAACAATAAGAACAAAAGAGGGTTAGGCATGCTGATATAACCCAAGCCAACATGATGTACTCACAAAAATATGAAAGAAGCACGAGTACACAAAGTAAAGCTCATTTGAACCGGAGTATAACACGAAAGCAAGGCAAATGAGCAAAGCAAGTGACATGACATATATATCAAAGTAGAGAGCACACATGTCACAAGAGTCTCACAATCACATATATAACCCAATGTATGAAAGTAAACATGAATGCATGAAGTATCACACACAAAAGAACGAGTCCATTTCACACGCTCCCCCTAAATCTAACATACTCTCTCCCTCTCCCCCTTTGGTGTCAAGCACCAAAACCTAAGGGTCGGACAGTGGGGTAGGAGCAGACGAGTCGGGCGCTGAGGTACGGTGAGAGATCTGAAACTGAGTAGCATCATCATCTGACTCTGGACTCGGAACTATCGAACCAGCTGGAGCAATCGGCGACTGACCCTCTTACTCTAAAGCAGGAAGTGGAGCGGTTTGGGTTTGCTCTGCGGTCTCAGTAACTGGGTCAGCTAGCTGAGAAGTAGAAGTAGAAGTTGTAGCCTGACCCTATGTCTCTGAAGCTGTCTCTGTAGGAAGTGGAGCCACAACTGTCTCTGTCTCTGTCGCTAAAGCCTCAAGTGTAGGAGTGACTATCTGAGGTGGCTCTGACGAAGCAATAGAAGACAGGAGAGTCTCGGTAGTCCTTGTGACTAGAGCTGCTGCTGTAGTAATAGGCACCTAAAGCTCCAGAGGTGTGGGGTGACTTGTGATCTCACTAAAAATGGTAGCCAAGCTCCTGGAGACCGGTGTATCTGTCACTAGCACTGACTCGGACTGAGTAGGGGTGAATCTGGTGACATTCAGAGTGAAGCCCTAGGTCTATGTCCCTAGTGTAGCAAACCATTGCGAAACCTACTCGGTGAGCGAGGCAAACTATGTATCTATCTGTCCCTGACTCTGAAACCTACTAGGTTGTATAGCTAGAGTCACTGGGGTACTAGTGATAGTCGAACCAAGCTACAACATAGGCCGATAAGGAGCAATCCCTATAGTTGTAAGGACATGCTACATGAAACAACCCCGATTTCTATGAAGGGAAATCCACATAGTCGAAGTGTAATAAGACCGTTGTAGATCATATTACCCAAATTCCAGTCGAATATCATATCCATACAACGATAATATCAGAGTACAAATAGTGCGGAATACATAAATTATTACATCGCCACATTGGTGGAATCAAAAGTAGCATTCATTCAGAACAGCTTGAAGATAAGATCGCCTAACTTGAGCGTAGGCACGAACCCCTCAACCGTCAAACTCTTCGGAGCTATACTCCTCAGCAGAACCTGTGTGCCAAAATTTATCAGTACAATTTGTACTGGCCACTCCCAACCCTATGAGCATTGCTTTGTGGAAATTGGATGCAAGTTGGATATAATCAAAAGGAACCTATAAGGCTAGGGTTTCCTATGTATTAGCATATCAAGTACATAATAATAGTTGGTCAAGTTTTAACACCGTTCTCACACATTCCACCCCACTTCCCATTCCCGAGCCAGGTTTCGATCCTGGGATCGATATACCACCATCTCCACGCCATCTCCATACCACACCCATACCATCGCTCAGATGATAGGCCAACTCCCTCTCGGCACTGTCTCATGGCCCGTAGCCCCTGGCTACGTCTGAACACTCACTCCCAGGGGGAGAAGAGAATGACTCATCTCACTATCTAGTTTAAGCGAAACCTAGGAAAGGTCCATTGCCGATGAGTCGGCATATGTATCGATCGATCAACCACACACTCTGCAGAGGTTTTACATAACCACAAGATCTGCCTTCCTCGCTGACCGTCGTCAACTGGGCTGATTCTGGCTGCTTGCTAGCCTAGGATAATGCCACTCTACCATTCAGCCCTGGTACACCCCAAGCCTGGTCTGGGGTGGCTGAAACTGTGAGTCATGAGCCGGGTCCACAAGGCCTCCATGAAGTCTCGGAAGGGTGTGGGGGAAATCCTCTGCACCCCGTACCTTCCTCACACTGTCCGCTATCAACCAAGCAGTAGTGGCAATATCCTACCAAGTAGTCCGGCCGTCCCGCACCATATAGGGCGAGTGGTACGTAAGGCTTCCAGGTGAATCTGAGTACTAGTAAGTCCTTAGGGATGACCAAGCCAGAATGTCTTCATCAGGGTTTCCATTACCGTGCCACCGCAGCACCTCCACCCTGGGCTCCTCCCATCACAGGATCACACCCAGGGCCACCTCATATTCCATTTACCCACCACAGGTATCCATTCCAGGGGTGCCCAGGTAGCACCCCACGGCAAGACTTGCCCCAGGCTCGTCGTATACTCCAACTTGGTCGACACAACCCTCACCCTCCACGCACCCAAGTCACTCACGCAGCACTCTCCCCATAGTCCAGATAACACCAGTTTTCCACCACGCACCAATGTAGTGCAAGCATAGTAGAAGTAATAAGCAATGAATTATAGTAGCAAGCGTGTGACTAGCCTAATAGCTGGGTGAGCAGGGGCATGGTTGCATCAAGGTAAAGGCCATCAAGAAAGCATTCTACCATGCAAGTCCTATCATAGTGTGATTACAACAATAAAGTAAAACACTAGCATTTCTATTTTAGCCATGCGTAATAGGTGCTACGAGGTTGGGTGGGATGTGGCACCTTCAGTGTAGTCATCTTCGTACTCCTCACGGTACTCTCGGTCCTCGACCGTCCGGTTCTCCTCCGAGTCTGCAAGCGATCGAATTATAGTCGCGTTAGCGACGCCTATAGAATAGCACAAAGAAGCAGTGAAAATTCAAAAGAGCCAAATGCACTCAAACATGGGTTCATTGCGTAGAGCTCAATTTTAGATGGATTTTGGTCCTGGTCTTGTATTTTT